TAATAATAAAATAAATAATAAGATACAATATCGGAATAATAACTAATAAAATAATAAACTGTTCTATAACAATACCATATAATTGTAAAGTAATAAAGGAGACTAAAGGCAAGATGGCCTAAGTGGAAAAAAAAAAAAAGTATAAAAATAAATAAATTATATATATAATATATAGTCAAAAATCTTTATAATCACCTTTTTTATAATTACAAAATTACTGTAATATAAAAAAAATTCTATTTTAACCTAAATCAAAATAACTTAACAAAATTTTAAGATTAATGCAGACCAAAATTATATTAATGCAGACCAGAGTTTTTTTATATAAAAACCCAACTAGCATTAACATAATTCTGGTCTATACTAATTCTAAATTTTGGATAATATCATTTTGACTAGAATTTCCCTTAATATAATTACAAATTTATTTAAAATTTGCTAATTTATATTACAGATGCTGTATTATTAATATTTCAAAATTTTCTTAAACCACTTTTTAAACTTTAACAAAAAAAATTTTTTGCAAAATTTTACTATAAACAATGCCTTTGCTTTATCTTAAACCTTACTCTAACTCTAACTATAAAAATATTACTTTTTGTTTTAAAAAAAAATATTTTGTTGTTTTGTTATATATTGAAAATTGTAGATAATAATCACCTGTAGTAGAAATTAGATATTTTCAATTTATTTTTACCAATTATTTATAACTATATAGTAAATACCTCTATACAGTATTAGTTACACCTCTTTACAATCATGTTTTTTTGTGTAACTATAGAGGGCTTAACTAGTTTTTTTGATGCTGTCCAAAAATATAATAATAAAAAAAACTTCAACAATAAAAAATAAATAAAATAAATCTAAATTAAAAAAAACTTTAAATTTATTATAAAAATAACTACATAACAATATTATATTATATATTTTGAATAAATTAAAAAGTGCTGTCTACATGTTAATTATCTATAAAAGCTTTAATATGTAATCATTGATTTTATAACAATGCAGCTTTATAACTAAAAATTAACTAGCTTCCTAATTTTTAAAATGCATGTCCAACAAAGTCGTGTGTTTGATATTGACTAATATTGATTTTACTAAGTAAACGTTATTTGTCGTTAACACTCAATACTGACATTTTATTAATAGCATCAATTTCATTTTTAAACAAAAGTTTTCTAGAAGATGAGATGGACTTTGGCATCGATCGACGAGGCGTAGCTTTAGATGGAGTTGATTCTGGAGTTGTTGCAGAAACAGTAGAAGTAGAAGAACTTCCAGTTGAATCGTCATCTTTAAGGAATAAGTTGATTTTTTCGTCAGCTATCTCAAGATGATTAGTTTGCTCACAAACCTCCAAGGCACTTAACCGTAACATGTATTCGAGAAGACTAAGAGTTTTCAGATTGAATTGGTGTATCTCATTGTCCTCAGAACTACCAGATGCATTCAAATTTGAAGTTCTTTTCGAAGAGCCGAGTGAAACATCATGAATATCGTGTATTTCTGCTCTGTTAGTGCTATCCGGAACTGCAATTTCTTTCTCTTCATCGACGTCACTCACCGTCGCATCCGAATCTTCATTATCACTGTCTGGTAAAGGAATTCTTCTTGGTGTCGAGTTCAAAGGGCTTGTGGGCAAAGGAATCCTTCTTGGTGTAAGAGAAACAGGACTCGTAGGTAAGGGAATTCTTCTTGGTGTAGGAGAAGCGGGACTTGTTGGCAAAGGAATCTTTCTTGGTGATGGAGTTCCAGGAATGGATTGTGAAAATTGTGTTATTGCTAATTCTTCTTTATCATCATTGTCACTA